ATATATATATATAAATGCATATGTATGTATTTCAGTAGCAACATTTCAAAGCTTTTACAAAGTCAAATACACTTCAGTGCATCGTGGTTTAAGTTTCTGCTCAGTRTGATAAAAATCACACTGATAAATGAATTATTTTCACTCTATATAATGTTTTTTACGTCCATAACTTTAGCCTTGAATCACCTGCCAGACTTTATTCGAACTCGGCCGGCAAAGTCCCTCTGACATTAATTCATTTAGTGAATAATAGATCACCTCCGCTCTAAATCATGCTGCAGGCGAAGAAGAGAAAAACAGTTTAAAGCTCATTAAAGCTAACATCAACAGAAAGTAAAAACGAATAAATATTTTATCATTCCTCTTTCAGTTTATTGGTCATTTAAAATAAAGTATTTCTGACAGAGTCTGAAGTGCATGCTTTTATTTTGAAAGTTTATTTAAGCTTCTGATGTTATTGTTTTAACTTGAACAATAGGAACAGAAGCTAAAATTAGCAAAAGGTATTGCTAAAAGCAGCAAAACCATGACTAATAACTCAAGATACCAAACCTAAAAGCTAAATATAGCCAAACAGTAACTCAGAGCTAAATGAAGCAAAACATTAGCTACAAGTTAAAAGTACCAATGGCTAATGCTAAAGGTAGAAAAACATATCTAACCAAAAGTAGAAAAACAGCAGCTCAAAGCTTAATATATCAAATCTTATTGAAGCTAAATACAGCAAAACTGTAACGTAAAAGCTAACTGTAGTGCAACATTAACTACATGTTCAAACTAGCAAATCAGTAGCTAAAGTTTTTAGTTTGCAATGTTAAAAGTAGCAAAGCTACAACTAAGTCACAAAACCTTAGCTTGAAGCTAAATACAGCAAAACTAATGCAAAGGCAAAACATTAGCTACAAGTTAAAAATACCAAAACAATAGCTAATGCTAAAGGTAGATAAGCATATCTAACTAAAAGTAGCAAAACATTAGCTACAAGTTAAAATAAGCTAAATCATAGCTAACAGCCAAAACTTGCTTAACAATAGCTAAAGGTTCAGATTTTCAAAACAGATAAAGCTAAAAAGAACAACCTTGTAGCTAAAAGCTCAAAGTGGCCAAACAGTTGCTAAAACATCTGACCAAAATGGCTATGATTTTGTTAATTATCTAATATAAAACTCTAGTAATAAAGACAGCAGGTTACCTTTTAGTTATTTATTTCCTTTAATTTGTTTGTTTTTTCTGATATTGCTGATGAATTTGTTCAACCCTAAAGACATYATGTTTTTGGTTTTATGTGCTTAATCCTAAAATCTTTGCAAATGCAAGCTAATATTMAACTTTTCTCAGAATCTGTCAAAAGTACAGCTGCTTCAGATGAAACAAATGTAATAAATTATTGTTCTGTGACTGAAACTTCAATAAAAACAAGCAGATCAGCAGCATTTTCTGCTTTTTCTYTTTTCCTCGACCATAAATCCCTTAGAAGAACCCTCCCTTTGCCATTAACGAGCTCTCCAGTCGGTAGCAGGACAGCTACCAGTAATCAAACACACAAACAGCCGAGAGCAGTGGCCTGGTCACACTGAGCTTTTAAGCTGCACAACACATTAGAAAGAAAAAGTATCTGATTCAGTTGTGTGAAGACAGCCTGGAGACACGAAGAACAAAGCTCAGCACTGATTCATTGATCAGACAGAGATGGAGGTACTTCACAGGACCCTCCGTCACTGTGAGCCACTCAGGAGACAAGAAAAAGGGAGACTTCTTGTAAAAACGCAGAGAGAGCAGAGAAAATAAAACTTCAAATAAAACATGCCAGTATTCACTGATCAGGTTTTATGAACTAAAACAAACAAAAAATCATACAAAAGAAAGACAGATGATTTAAACAAGACAGGCTGGTGAAGCTGTACGTAATATGATGGACTGAACGTCAATTTTACTGTAGTTAGCCACATGCTAGTTTGCCTATTTAGCATTGATTACTTTTATTCATGTTAAGGGTTAGGGGTTATACAGGCTAACTATCACTAATACAGGGGAAACAATTTGTGGTAAGTATAATAAACTGCAAATGAATTTGCTTTTGTTAGCAACATGCTTGTGCAATCAGATTAACTAGCTGGTCAGTCTGTGGTAAATACAAGAAATTGCAAATGGATTTGCTGTAGGTAGCAAATTTATTGCTAATTAGTTTTTTTAGTCTTCCCCAGGGCAGCTGTAGCTACAGTGTAGTTTACCCTCATCAGTGTGTGAATGAATGATGCATGAAACTGTAAAGTGTCTACGAGGGTCTCGAAAAGTGCTATATAAGACTAATGCATTATTATTATTATTATTATTATTATTATTATTATTATTATTATTATTATTATTATTATTTATGTAAACAATGTCATTAGGCCAACTAGTGCAATATATGGTAATTGGTAATGCTGGTTAATCAGTTTGTAATAACTACACTAAATTGCAAATTTTGATGTAGTTAGCCACAAGCTATTTAGCTTATGTAGTACAAATTATGTTTACTCGTAATTAGCACCACATAGGCTAAGTGCTAATGCTGGTGTCTCAGTTTGCTGTAAGTCTAATGGGCTGCAAACACACTGAGCTGCTGTTAGCCACATGCTAGTTAGCTTATATAGCACAAACTATGCTAACTGGTAATGCTAGTGGATCATATTGCATTTATAAACATGATAAACTGCAAACAAATGTTGCTGTTGTTAACCAATGCCAGTTAGCTTCTACAGTGCTACTTTCTTCAAGTAGTTAGCACCATATAAGCTAACTATCACCATACAGGCTAAGCAGTGAATTGCTTTAAATATAAGGGATTGAAAACAGTTTTTGCTGTAGTAAACTACATGCTAGCTCGCCTATAAAGCACTAAAACATGTATTTATGATGAATTACCTATGTTTGCCACAAACAAGCTTATACTATGTGTGATATGTTTGTAGGTCCTAAAAGTGGCTCATTAGTGTGTGCAAAATATCAGGGTAAAGCTAAGAACAATGAATTAAAAAGGCTTTTAACAACTGAGTTTCCACTTTTCAGCACCGATGTGCAAATAAACAAAGTTTCATTAAATGCACACATGGCTTTTTGTCTAGTTAGGACGAGACTTCAGGCTTAATTATCTTACCCAACCAATTAAAGCCCCCCGGTAATGAAATTTCATCGCAATATAATTAAAGAAGCTATTTTTATTCAAACCTACCAACCCTTTCCGAGCACAAAACATTGCAGCATTTGCAAATGCTGGATAATTTAGCGAGACAACATGATTATACCTTCGCTGTGAGAGGAACTGTGTTCCTTTTTGTGCATCTTTTCCCTGTGTGTGTGTGTGAGGGAACAGATAATAACTGATGCTGCAGGCAACAAAAGCTAAACAAAAAGAGAAAAAAACAATTTTTGAAGCCTTTTAAACATYCAGAAACACAATGAGATTGATGCAATCTGCAAAATGACAGCTGGAAACTATTTAAAAAGTAATTGCATCTACAGCTGCATGTCTACACAGCTGAGAAAACAAACTCATCAACAGCTAAAAGTGATGCTTTCGACTTTATTGCGGTTGTTGCTATGGCTCTCTTCTTCATCAATCAACCCCCAACTTTTCTTTCTCCACATTTGATACTTCATGTTTTGTTGTAGAGCCTTTAAAATCCAGCAGAAGTAGTGAAAAACATCCTGTCGCTGGTGTGGGCCGACCCATCGGGTCTACCCTGCAGCTCATCAGCTCATATTTCCACCAATTTCACCCACTTAGCAGCTCAAAATATTGCAAACGCCCAACGAATCAGGAGAATGTGATCAAATCTGTGATCAGCCTCTGTCTTTCTTTTGAACAGTTGGCATTATCTGTCATTTCCCAGTTTCAAAATTCTGAATTACTTTKCCTAAACCATTGGGGAAAAGGAAAATTAGCATGTTCATGCTGAAAAATATGGACGTCCTGATTCTGCTTCTCAATGTAGGCAGAAAAAATATCAAAGATCTGAAAGAAACTAATAATTTAAAACATTGTTGCACTCTGATGGGATATATTTGGTATTATTGTTAATATTTGCAAAACAAAAAAACGAATCATAGGAAAAAAACAGCTTTAAATCAATGCATTATTTAGTGTAGCTGAAACTCATAACCAGCAACAACGTTGTTGTCTGTTAGCAAAATATCTCACGAACCACTAGATGGATTTTAACAAAAAGAGTTAATTGCGCTCAACTTGCAGATTCTCCACAGGTTATCAGTTCTAAATGTTTGTTTTGGGACCAGAGCTCGATGTGAGGCAAAGGTCGGCTCAACAAAAAGCGGACACGTTGTACGCCGAAAAAAAAAAAGGACGCGTCGGGGCGCGACTGTATCTGGCCTTTCCTCGTTTGACAAACAGCTCCGGTGACCTTTTTACTRGGTTCAGTTCCAAAATGTTAAGCACTTCCTGGAAAACGGGCATCCGCTTTTATAAGATGAGTTCATTTCAGAAAGACTGAAAGCTTAGGAGAAAACGGTGCCTTGTTAGCACGTCCGAGGCCTAATTGTGGAGCCAGAATGTGTCTCATTATCTATAAGAGGCTGGCTCTGACACATTGGGTTTAATGAAGATTACTGTATGGGATAATGGTGTAACGACAGGCAGGGAGAAGGATGAAACAGCCAAAAATCGCTGAAGTGCTTGGTTTCCTCAACATATTAGCCATGATAGGGCGTAGGTTTGACACAGTTATGAAAACACTAAAGACATGCAACAAAATAAGAGCATCTCCTGGTAACACTTTGGGAACTTTGCCTTTCGAATCAATGTAATCTTCACCATAAGCAAGCGGAGCAACACCCTCATTACAGAGGACAAGGACCGGAYTCCTTGATGAGATTATGTCACAAAAAATGTTTCTTGTTTCTAAGAGATGAATAACTATGTTGAGAAATGAGCCATTATCCAGAGTTAAGTTCTTGAAGGATTAGGATATACAGTATATATTCCCTAAAGTCAAAATAATATAACTCATTGTCTCAAGAAATCAAGTATTACTTACGTTTAAAGATAAATACATTTATCTCACAAAAACAAGCAGTTATTTTGATGTAAGATGTTAAAAACTGAAATACATGTCCTTTGTTGGCTTCCATACTTTTTAAAGTCAACGTAAATAAACATTTTAACTATTTTTTTCAAGAAAACAACCTCAGTATGACGTATAAAAATTATATTTTATTGAAAAAAGATGTGTTGTTTGTTGTGAGAAAAAGGTCTTGAAATTTCTAAACATGTCATTGACTTCCACGCATCTTGAAATCAAGATAATTAAATACACAAGGTATTATTTTAAAATTGGTATATTTAAAAATGTCATTTACTTATGAAAACAAGTGTTTGTTATTTTGAGATGTTTTAAGTTTAATTTCTCTGTGTCATTTCTTGGCTTTCATACTTTTCAAGTCAAAATAAAGAAAAGTATTATCTAATTATTTACAAAAAACAAGCTCTGAATGACACACAACAAATAAATAATTTGTTTTTTTAAAGAAACAGTTTGTTTTCTTTACATGTCATGAAACAACTTTATAAACACTGCTTCAATACATTTCAACTTTCCAATCAGATTAGTTTTGAAAAGAGTTTTTATTAGTCAACATGTCATCCCAATCTAATTCATAAGAACCTATATTTTTATTTTATTTTGCATGAATAAAATAAGGATCGACTTCTCACCCAGCCCGACTCCCACGATGATCCTCCCCGCCAGGAGCGCCTCCTTCCCGGGAGCGGTGCTCAGCACGACCCCTCCGACCGTGAAGAAGAAGCTGGCCAGCAGGATGCAGACCCTGCGCCCGAAGAGCCCGTTCAGGAAGCCGCCCAGCAGTGCGGACAGCGCCGCCGCGACCACGGTGCTCGATATGAGCAGCTCCTGCCACAGGGCGCTGAGCTCCAGCTCCCGCTTCAGCATCAGCATCGCCCCGGAGATCACCCCGGTGTCGTAGCCGAACAGGAAGCCGCCGAGAGCCGAGAACACCGCCAGGACGTAGACGAAGCCGGGCGTGACATCCTGCTGGAACTGCTTGCGGGCAGCCCTCTCCAGGTCCCCGGTGGAGGCGGTGGAAGAAGCGTCCGGAGCTGGGGCTGGGGCAGCGGCAGCGGCGGAGGCGGAGGCGCCCTGTCCGCTGATGCTGCCGCTGGACGGAGCCTTGATGAGGCTCCGCTCCCCTCCGTCGTTCGCCCTCTTCCAGCGCTCGCCCATCAGGTTGCTCATACTTCGCAGGGTGTAGTCATGGTCGACCTGCTTTCGCGACATAAATGCAAAACACAGACGCTCCCAAATGTCASCTCAAAACTGGAGTAAAAGTTCGTAATCCAGTTTTAAATCTGGGAAGTTGTTTTTATCTATGAGCGCATCCCCAGTGGTCCTGATGGGAGAGTTGGAGAAAAGTGGAGAGGAAAGGTGAGACAGAAGGAGGTGTAGTGAAACCAGTTCGTCACCACCAGCGTCGGCGTGACGCAAAGAAAGATTGTTTTGGTAACGTGGTGAAAAGAGAGATCAGGAATTAGACGGCCCCGTCTCACTCAAATCATTAGGCTTTTATTCGGAGGTCAGTAATTAGACGGCCCCATCTCACTCAAATCATTAGGCTTTTATTCGGAGGTCAATAATTAGACGGCCCCATCTCACTCAAATCATTAGGCTTTTATTTTGAAAACAAATTGCACATGAGCTCAAGMAACATTAACGAACCAAAGAAAATACTTTTTTATTCAAAATGTGATGTCAGTGCTGAGAAATTAAAAACTGAGTTTGTTAAGATAAAAAGGAAAATATCAGCTAAAGGTTTTTAGAGCAAAATGCTAGAAAATCAACAACAATCTAACCAAAAGCTAAATGGAGCAACAAACACTTTGAAAGCTGACATTTGCAAAAGGCCAGTTAAAATGGAAAAGTAGCAAAATGCTAGTTAAACGTAATTAACAAAATGCTTAAACCTAAAATAACTAAAATGCTATCTAGAAGCTAAAAGTAGCTAAATAATAGCTAATGGTACCTGAAGGCAAATAGCTATGGTGAGCACTGACTAAAAGCTAAAAGACTTGCTATAATGCAAAAGTCTAGCAAGAATAATCAAAAGGTTAGCTAGAAAATTCAAAAAGCAAAGTAAGAGTAGCTGACACCCCTAAATAAATAAAATTAAAATTAATAGTAGAATAATATAGCT